TCAAGAATATTCAAGGACAAAAATGTGTCTCTTTAATTTAAAAGGGTATCTATTTTTACATGCATGTGAAATGTTGCATGCAGCTTTTCTACCTAATTCAGTCCCTCGGTATGCTGCAAAATCAGTTTAAAAACTTTCTTTCTTTACATCATGACTGAAGATGGTTTTCAAACAAAATCTCCTGAAAGGAGAATGTAAGTATTTAGGAGAAGGAAAAAGCACTGGTTAGTTGGTTGAATAAGAAATAAGAGTGACATACTGCTCTGTCATGTTATTTAGGTGGAAAATGATGAATATATGATGCTTCTTTTCCTTTCGAGGCAATGCTATGTCTTATCAACAAATACTTACCAGCATATATATTGCTGCTCAAAAACACATTTGATATTGGATCAAAAGTTTCCTCCTATTTAATGTGGTGATAAAAATAACTGCTAAGTAACTCAGTTCACAGAATTATGAAGGACTAGGTTTGAGTTTCTGCCTTGAATACCATAAAGTGATGAACATAGAGGCTGAGAAAAGAAGAGGAGGAGAAGGTGTGGAAGGATAAACATATATAAGAAAAAAAAAAGCAAATAAATATAGCTGATTCTTTCTTCATAAGGAGTGTTATTGCTCTCTGAGAGCTATCTTTTATTAAGACCACTAGCAAGACTAATAAAGAAGAAAAGAGAGAAGAATCAAATAGACACAATAAAAAATGATAAAGGGGATATCACCACTGACCCTACAGAAATACAAACTACCATCAGAGAATACTATAAACACCTCTATGCAAATAAACTAGAAAATCTAGAAGAATGGATAATTTCCTGGACACTTACACTCTTCCAAGACTAAACCAGGAAGAAGTTGATTCCCTGAATAGACCAATAGCAGGCTCTGAAATTGAGGCAATAATGAATAGCCTACCAACCAAAAGAAGTCCAGGACCAGATGGATTCACAGCTGAATTCTACCAGAGGTACAAGGAGGAGCTGGTACCATTCCTTCGGAAACTATTCCAATCAATAGAAAAAGAGGGAATCCTCCCTAACTCATTTTATGAGGCCAACATCATCCTGATACCAAAGCCTGGCAGAGACACAACTAAAAAAGAGAATTTTAGACCAATATCCCTGATGAACATCGATGCAAAAATCCTCAATAAAATCCTGGCAAACCGGATTCAGCAGCACATCAAAAAGCTTATCCACCATGATCAAGTGGGCTTCATCCCTGGGATGCAAGGCTGGTTCAACATTCACAAACCAATAAACATAATCCAGCATATAAACAGAACCAAAGACAAGAACCACATGATTATCTCAATAGATGCAGAAAAGGCTTTTGACAAAATTCAACAGCCCTTCATGCTAAAAACGCTCAATAAATTCGGTATTGATGGAACGTACCTCAAAATAATAAGAGCTATGTATGACAAACCCACAGCCAATATCATACTGAATGGGCAAAAACTGGAAAAATTCCCTTTGAAAACTGGCACAAGACAGGGATGCCCTCTCTCACCACTCCTATTCAACATAGTGTTGGAAAGTTCTGGCCAGGGCAATCAGGCAAGAGAAAGAAATCAAGGGTATTCAGTTAGGAAAAGAAGAAGTCAAATTGTCCCTGTTTGCAGATGACATGATTGTATATTTAGAAAACCCCATTGTCTCAGCCCAAAATCTCCTTAAGCTGATAAGCAACTTCAGCAAAGTCTCAGGATACAAAATCAATGTGCAAAAATCACAAGCATTCTTAGACACCAGTAACAGACAAACAGAGAGCCAAATCATGAATGAACTTCCATTCACAATTGCTTCAAAGAGAATAAATACCTAGGAATCCAACTTACAAGGGATGTAAAAGACCTCTTCAAGGAGAACTACAAACCACTGCTCAGTGAAATAAAAGAGGACACAAACAAATGGAAGAACATACCATGCTCATGGATAGGAAGAATCAATATCGTGAAAATGGCCATACTGCCCAAGGTAATTTATAGATTCATTGCCATCCCCATCAAGCTACCAATGAGTTTCTTCACAGAATTGGAAAAAACTGCTTTAAAGTTCATATGGAACCAAAAAAGAGCCCACATCGCCAAGACAATCCTAAGTCAAAAGAACAAAGCTGGAGGCATCACGCTACCTGACTTCAAACTATACTACAAGGCTACAGTAACCAAAACAGCATGGTACTGGTACCAAAACAGAGATATAGACCAATGGAACAGAACAGAGTCCTCAGAAATAATACCACACATCTACAGCCATCTGATCTTTGACAAACCTGAGAGAAACAAGAAATGGGGAAAGGATTCCCTATTTAATAAATGGTTCTGGGAAAATTGGCTAGCCATAAGTAGAAAGCTGAAACTGGATCCTTTTCTTACTCCTTATACGAAAATTAATTCAAGATGGATTAGAGACTTAAATGTTAGACCTAATACCATAAAAACCCTAGAAGAAAACCTAGGTAATACCATTCAGGACATAGGCATGGGCAAAGACTTCATGTCTAAAAAACACCAAAAGCAACGGCAGCAAAAGCCAAAATTGACAAATGGGATCTCATTAAACTAAAGAGCTTCTGCACTGCAAAAGAAACTACCATCAGAGTGAAAAGGCAACCTACAGAATGGGAGAAAATTTTTGCAATCTACTCATCTGACAAAGGGCTAATATCCAGAACCTACAAAGAACTCAAACAAATTTACAAGAAAAAAAGCAACAACCCCATCAAAAAGTGGGCAAAGGATATGAACAGACATTCTCAAAAGAAGACATTCATACAGCCAACAGACACATGAAAAAATGCTCATCATCACTGGCTATCAGAGAAATGCAAATCAAAACCACAATGAGATACCATCTCACACCAGTTAGAATGGCAATCATTAAAAAGTCAGGAAACAACAGGTGCTGGGGAGGATGTGGAGAAATAGGAACACTTTTACACTGTTGGTGGGATTGTAAACTAGTTCAACCACTGTGGAAAACAGTATGGCAATTCCTCAAGGATCTAGAACTAGAAATACCACATGACTCAGTCATTGCATTACTGAGTATATACCCAAAGGATTATAAATCATGCTGCTATAAAGACACATGCACACGTATGTTTATTGCAGCACTATTCACAATAGCAAAGACTTGGAATCAACCCAAATGTCCATCAGTGACAGACTGGATTAAGAAAATGTGGCACATATACACCATGGAATACTATGCAGCCATAAAAAAGGATGAGTTTTTTTCCTTTGTAGGGACATGGATGCAGCTGGAAACCATCATTCTTAGCAAACTATCACAAGAACAGAAAACCAAACACCGCATGTTCTCACTCATAGGTGGGAACTGAACAATGAGATCACTTGGACTCGGGAAGGGGAGCATCACACACTGGGGCCTATCATGGGGAGGGGAGACGGGGGAGGGATTGCATTGGGAGTTATACATGATGTAAATGACGAGTTGATGGGTGCTGACGAGTTGATGAGTGCACCACAGCAACATGGCACAAGTATACATATGTAACAAACCTGCACGTCATGCACATGTACCCTAGAACTTAAAGTATCATAATAATTTTTTAAAATAAAAAAATTTATTTAAAAAAAAAAGAACCTATTATCCACCATGTGATTTAAGTAAATTGTCACATTTAATTATCACATTTAAATATCACCAATGTGTTCTTCATCTAGAAGACTTGATAATCGAAACTTACGTAATTTGTTCCTGCTTATGGAACTTGGGTACAAGCATGCTTCCTAAACTCATTATTTTCCAGTCACTTTAGTTTTGGATTCTGTTGCTTTGAGTCATAAGCTGCATTAATTAGTTCTTTGGTCTTGGGTTTACAAATTCAAATATGTGGGTACTATGGCTCAACTCAAATGCCACATTTTCAGTGAAACATTCCCTGATCTTGCAGGTTGAGGAAATTCTTTTATTTCAGAGCGCAGTTCTCAGTTAAGGTCCTCCTTGCACTGTTCCTTGACATACTGTTAATTTTGTAAATATCTTTACTAGACTGTAACTGTTTGAGGGCTGTACACTTGTGGTCTCATTTCTAAATTCCCTTCATCTTTACTAATGGTAAATATGTAATAATAACTGAGAAAATGACTCATGTATAAATGAAGGGGGCAGTAGTATTAGATAAAAGTAGTATTGGAAAAAAGAGTGGGCAGTAGTATTAGAGCATTACTTATTAGTACCTCTGGTAATTAAATGTCTTTGAAATAGTTGATCAGATCATAGATTCTTTAACTTCAAAATTCAAAGTAGGATTGCATTTTGTAGTGACTTCCTGATTTTCAGAATTTGTTGATAACCTTAATTTTTGCATAAACTATGCATATTTAAATAAAATATTTTTTCTAATACCAAATTTTTTTACTACACATCAAAATCAGAGATTCAAATTGTTCATATTTGTTTACTTTAAAAGAGAATCATGAACTCCAGTAAAATTGACAGTTTGCTACTTCCAAAGGTTGTCATTTGCATACAGACTTATCATTTATTTTGGCTTAGCTGTTATAGATAGAGAATGTAATAATAATACAGTTCCTAGTGTTGTCAAGTATAATTTGCACAAAGATTTGTAAATATTTCCAGGCAATTAAATTTGAGAGCTTTAATTTTCTTATCAATAAAATGAAAATACTTTCTGTCTCAGTGCCATCGATTTTAGGTATTTATATGTAAAGTATGTGTATGATTATGTATGTTAAGAAATATAACTACTATTATACATATATAGTTTATAAGAAAATAATATTTTCACTGGATGAAAATCGAAAGTTATTATTTATAAAATCTAGTTTTTCTTTTTTTTTTTTTTTTCAGACAGGGTCTTGCTGTGTTACCCAGGCTAGAGTACAGTGGTGCAATCTCAGCTCACTGCAACCTCCACCTCCTGGGTTCAAATGATCCTCATGCTTCAGCCTTCCAAGTAGCTGGAACTACAGGTGTGTGCCACCACACTTGGCTAAGTTTTGTATTTTTAGTAGAAATAGCATTTCACCATGCTGGCCAGGCTTTAGATCTAGTTTTTCTTCTCTGTCTCCACAGAATGTAACAAACATATCTGAACCTGTAAAAAAAAAAAAAAAAAAGAAAAAGAAAAAGAAAAACCTTTTGTAGAATAAAAGCAACTTTTCTGCATGAAATAAGGAAAGAAAAATAGGTTACACATAAAAACAGCCCACAATAAAAAAAGCAACAACACTTTCTTCAGCATCTACTATTTGTACCTACTACTATAGTTATTACAGATATTAAATTCTATGTAACACTGTTTCAATATTGGAGAGTATACTAAATATACAGTATAGTAACGTCAAGTTACTAGCAACAACTACTTATATTATGATATAAAATAGTGGTGTAAATAGTACTAAGGGAATATAAAGGAGCACTAACTGCCTATAGATGGGACAGGGAAGTTGAGAAAAATTAGGGAAAGCTTCATAAATGAGAATGGTATATCTGTGAAGAATCATTGAGAATCATCTTGACTATGAACTTAAAGAATTGGTAAGAATTTTTCACTCAGCCAAAAATGGAAATGACATTCCAGACTTAATAAAAAACAGGAGAGAGATCAAACAGGCATGATAGTACAGTACATTGTGCTTTGGGGAAATGACACCAACTATTCTTCACATAGAAGATACCCCTCTACAATTGCATTTGCTTTATAAGTACTGATTAATCGGCCAGAAAATATCAGGTTGCTAATAGGCAAATTGCAAATGATTTCTCATTTTGAAAATTCAAACATTTCAGGGAGAGAAATTCTGAAATGTTTAAATTAATTGAACTAAATCAAAATGGAACTGAATCAAAATGCATAGGATGGCATTGTTATGATTATATTAAGCTGTCAAATGACTTCATATAAATGAATATACTAAGTAATGATAAGGGTTGTCATAGAATGAATTAATGTCCACTAAACATTCTTTTCCGTGAACAACCAGAGAAAAAGAACATTTTATAATAAAAGGTTCTGGTGGCTTACTGTCAAAAACTACGTTAGATGTGAAGGAGTGATGTTTTTAAAATACTGAGAGAAAAAAGTCAACTTAGAATTCTACACTCAAATTATTTTAAGAAATTCAGCTGACATAAAACAAATACATTTTAAGAAAAGCAAAAGCTGTAAAGCTGAGAAAATATACTGTCAGCAGATAGACTTGCACTAAAAAAAAGGAAAGAAAAAGAAAGAAAGAAGAGGAAAGAAAAACCAAGGTAGATTTTTTCACCAGATTTTAAAATTTGTGTCTAAACAAAGGAATAAAGAATGATGAACATGGCAAAAATATGAGAAAATATAGAACATTTTTCTAATCATTGATGCAAATGTAGCAATATATTTGGGGCTTATACATATGTATACACACATATATACATATACACACACATATACTTATATATACTATATATACACACATATATATACTACATACATACTTATATATACTATATATATAATAAATATACTAATACATATATGGAAATTGTATGTCACCAACAGTATAATAGAAGTCAATGAGAAATTGATGTGTATATTAGCAAGATTTTCACACTGTAAATGAAGTTGTATATCATTTAAACTTGACTGTGATAAGTTAAAAATATAGGATGTACATTCTAATGAAATAATAAAGAAGTGTAGCTAATAAGAAAAAGATGGTTATAAAATGCAATCACAATATTTATTTAAATAAAAGGACAAGAAAAAGTGGGAAGTACAGAAACGGATTAAACAACTGAAAATTAAATGGCAAAATTCACAAATTTTGCCAAATTACCTAGGTAATTATATTAATTTTAAATGTTTTGAGGACTTCAATTGAAGTCACAGAGTGTAAGATGGGTAAAAACACAATTCATGGTAAATATAGACAAAATTCTGCATTAATAAAGAAGATTTGAATAATATCACTAACCAACTTAAAGTCCATTTTTTATAGAACATTCTACATAATATTATAATAGTGGTTCATAGTCTATCCAAATACACATGGAATATTCGTAAATACAAGAGAGCCTATTGGCCACAAAACACATTTTAGTAATTTAAAGTTATTGAAATCTTAAAAAACGAATGTTCTTTAATGATGAAAATACTAATCTATTAATCAACGACAAAAATTGCTAAGTCCACAAATATGTGGATATTAAACTTAAAAAGAGGTCAAGAAAAGAAATATCAACAGAAAGCAGAAAATATTTTCAATTGAAGAAAAATATTTTAAAAATCAAAATTTATGAGATGCATCTGAAACAGGGTTTAGTTGTAAATGTGTAAATTTACATGTGTATTTAACATGAAGGGTTAATGATCAAATTAATGATCTAAGTTTTTTCCAGAACAAAAAAGCTAAACTCATATTAACTATAATCAGGAAAATATTAATAATAGATGAGATTAGTAAAATAGAGACACAAGAGAGAAAAACAATAAAATAAAAAGCTATTTTTTTCAAAAACACTAAGAAAATTCATAAGCTTTTAGAAAGGGCGATCAAAGAAAAAAAGAAAAAAATTACTAATCAGAAAACATTAATGATATCACCTGTTTTGTAGAAACTAAAAATGCATAAAGGCATATTTTTATATTTTTATTGCTGTAGATCATTTTGCCAGTTTTCACATATAATATATTGAATTAATCAATATGTACTTTTTTATATTCAGCTATTTTTCTCCAACATTATATTTTAAAGTATTTATTCATGTCTTTTGGTGTATCAATAATTCATTTTTATGGCTGAACATTATTCCATTATATAAATATACAAGTATTTATTCATTCTTTTGTTGATGGATATTTGTATTGTTTCCAACCATTAAACACACACACTCACATGTATACACACACACACAGCCACTATAGGTATACAGTTTTTCCATTATTATTTTTAGTTGTATTAGGCTGGTGCAAAAGTAATTGCAATTTCTGCAACTGAAAGTAATGGCAAAAACCGCAATTACTTTTGCACCAACCTAATAGATGTCTATCCTGTGTTTTAGCTAGATATGTCACCATTTAGTCACAAACTACATTTCCAGTTTCCTTTTAAGTTAGATATTGCCACAGAACTATGTGCTGCACAATGGGACATAATTAGAAGAGATGTGGGTACTTCTTAAATAATGTATTTATAAAGGTTTTGTTCTTTGCTTATTATTTCTCCCTTCAGGCCAAAACATAAGCATTATTCTGGGGTGCTAGCTTTGACTATTTTCTTTCCCAAAGAACAAGATACAAAGAACCTAAGTCCCTGACTGGTCCCAGGATGTAGCCCTCCTTCTATCCCCACCTTGGAAATCTTGCCTCTGGATTTTTACATAAGAATAATTAATCTTCTGCCTTTTTTGAGCCTCTGTATTTTCTGCTGTCTTTGTTACATCAGCTTGAACTATATCCTACGCAACACAACATACATTTTCATTGTTTACATCTTTGATATAAATACATGCAATACAATAGTTCTCTAATTTTATTAGGAGAACAATCTGCTTATTATTTTAAAAAGTAGATTCCTAGGATCCATTTTAGCATACTCTGATAAGTTAGGGCTGGAATGGGACCCAGGTATTCTAGATGAATTTTATGTGCAAGGTTTGGAGATCACAGTTGTAGACAAACTTTTCTGTATTTTCCTATGCCTGGGCCAAATAGTAGCTTTTTTCACATCAAATGCAAATGATATGTCTTATAATAGAATGATATATATTAATGTATATGTAGAGGAAAATGTCACGTATTTCCAGAAATAAACAGATGTCTATTAGTAGAAAAGCACTAGTGAGACTAAATGACCTTGTACAATTGCAAGATCATTGGCACAAATTCAATTCTTTATGTAAAAGTTTTGCTTAACTCAAGCCACTCTTGTTTTTTTATTACCATTCTATCCAAGGCATCTGTTCCATATAGAACTAATACTTTTTCTCAAAATTCAAGCCAAAACATCTTACCAATTTTATTTTGCACATTTGTGGCATGAGAAAAAATTTAAGTAATATGTCCAATAATCTAAAGAGAACACACAAAAAAAGAATTTACAGAACTTGGAAACATGGAAAAAATTACCCTCTAAGTTACTATTTTATGCAGTGTTATGGGCTGAATTGTGTTGTCTTAATATTATCATGTTGAAACTCTACCCCCGAGTAACTCAGAATGTGGCCATATTTGGAAATAGGACCATTAAAAAGAATATAAATTAAAATTGGGTCATTGGGGTGATTCTTAATGCAATATGACTGGCGTCTTTATAACAAGAGGAGATTAGGACACAAAGAACAACATGCAGAAGTGCCACGTGAAGACACCAAAAGAATAGCACCATCTATAAGCCAAAGAGAGAAGTCTTAGAAGAAACCAACCATGTCATCACCATGATATCAGACTTCTGTCTCCAGAATTATGAGAAAATAAATTTATGTTTAAGTTTTTCAGTACATGGTACTTTGTTATGGTAGTTGTAGCAAGCTAATTCACACGGCTAAAAATACGTGTGGTAATTTGTTATGGTAGTTGTAGCAAACTAATATACAAGGCTAAAAATACACGCGCACACAAACACACACACACGCACACGTTAAACTCCAGAAAGTTGATTACCTTGCTTGGCAACTTCTTGGTTTGTTTATTAGTTTTGTTTTCTGTCAATGTACATATACCATAGCCATCTTCTTTCCATTACCAGTTGATGAATAATTTTCCTATTGTCATTTCCTTAAGCTTGAAGAAAAGGTCATGCTCCAAAATTACTGTTCTTAGTGTTCTAAAGATCCAGAAACACATAGATAATTGGGAGCTTGGATTATACGGCTACCTTACTTGATTCAAACCTAGTTTTGACAGTCTTTAACTTCTTAGCTTGAGGCTAGTGCTTTAATAGCTTTTAATATTGAGATAAGAATAGTGTCTACCTTAAAATGTTATTGTAATGATTAAATGAGACAATATATGTAAGGCACATAAAAATGTGCATGACCAATAGAAATGTATATGATCATAATAATGATTTGTCAAACCAGAATCCTCTTGAGAGTGATACAGGGTATTCCTCATACTCTTGCCACCACACAGTCATAAACCAGTAGTATCTGGGCACAGGTAAACATAAAATATGCCATGGATATCAGTTGTTTTTATTATTAACAAATGATAAGAATAGGAAAATAGATATTGTTAATGTCCCTGTAGTTCTTGATAGAGATTACAGTTTTTAGTCACTTCTATATAATTTCCTGCCCCCTCTTACCCATTTTGTAACATGATCAAATCCATTTAAAGCCTTCAACACAGGCATTTTGTTAAAGGATCACAGCCTACCTTTTATTACATGATCAGGAACTTAGATACTCTCGCTCCCAAAAATGTGAAATGAGATAGAAACATGCTGGGCAGTAAGTACTGAGCCTGTAAGATCGTGCTGATTCATGGTTGGTTTTTAAGATTAACCTTGTACCTGCAGAGGGTTGCACGTAAGTGCTTGTGCTCTAGGTTGTCGCCTCAAGCTTATGAGTGGCCCATTTTACTCGTGTAGTTTCTGTGGTGTGGTTTCCTTTATTTCAGCCAAGGAATCCTTAAACTACTCAGATGAAAACTATGTTAGAAATAAACAACAGGAAGGAATATATACTAAGAATAAGCATGCATACTCTATAATAAAGTTCAATATCTCAATACAGGCACTTTTAATGATTACAATATATAAAGCTAGTTGCATGTAAAGCAGTCTGGCAATAAGCCTTCAGTAGAACAAATCGTGGTTGCTTTTTTTGTTTGTGTCTTTTGATTTGTTACTTTAAAATTTTACTAATCCCTCTACAAAGCTCCCCAACCTAAAAAAAAAAAAAAGACTTTGGCAGGCATTCAACTAAACCTAAGAAAGAATGCATTTTAAAATGCTTCTAAGATGTTCACAAAGGCATGATAAATATGCAAAGAATTAACAATTCACCTTACTTTCTATTCATTACATTAATGGTTTGTGGATAAGAAAAGATTTATGCTCATGAATGCTATGCCTCAATGTTTAGACAGCTTATCCTTGCTAAAGCTGACATGAATGTGGATAAATATTGGTTTTTGACAGATTCGGATTTGCTTCAGAAATTATCTGTCAGGAGGTTGGAATGGGTCAGGTTAAAAAATATATTTATTCTTATAACAACCATCCATACCAAAACTAGATTCCCATCATTTTCAATTTTAGTGTCTGAAAAACTGAACCTATAAGACCCTTTTTATATTTGCAAGTAATAACCACACAATTTAATCTCCCTTAAGTAGCCTTATTCTTATTTTTTCATAGGCACAGAATGTGTCTGCTTAGAAATTGCAATTTTAGGCCTAAAACTACAGTATTTCATGCTGTGAGGTCTCTATTTTATGTGACTGCATTTGACATGTTCCCTAAAATTCAGATCTAGAAAAATAGTTTTAGAAAAAAAAAATTCATGTGAAAAACAGCTTGCCTTTTACAGAATATCTTTAAAAATGTATTTCTAGCTTTAAGTATCGATTTCATAATCAATTATTTCTCTGATGCTGTATTAGTTTTTCTTAACCTTTAAACCCCCAAATAAAGAAACCATGTAATTTTATTGTGTGTGTCTATATGTTAAAAAAAACCTGACACAACTGATTTACAATTGTGAATGATACTAATGGATGACAGATCCAAGGATTTATGCTGCCCCAATTCTTCACCTGTTTCTTCTGATTACTTCCGAATATTTTTCCAAAACTGCCATTTTGTAGTGGGAAACATCATGGTTGATGGATGATAATATCGGTCAATTGCTCAAGCTTTATTCCTCCATTTCAAACTGCTAGTAACTAATCTAGTAATACTTCACACAGATAGTTTGGGAAGAGGCAAGGCGTGCTTCCACTAACTTCTTAGTTTCCTGCTCTTCTCATTTCCCACAACTGTTTTTAGACTAACTACATTCAAATTCAGACGGAAATACTAACTTTAGATACATTTAAATGTTTAAAATACTCCAATTACAATAGTTGTAGCTTCTTAGGAGTCTTAAAGTTCTCTAAAAACTACTGTCTCTCTTGCAATTTGAAAAGCTACTGTGAGAGGGTCCCAGCAGCTCCGACTGTTGGAGGAGCGACAACCGCCAGGTAGCCCAGCTTCTAGAAGGCTCTTGGGGCGCTGTGGCCTACAGGCACCTGGCATGCAGCCTCCCTGCCGCCAAAACGCCCGAGTTAGAGGTTGTTCAGGGACAACCCCAGAGGAGATCTATGAGGTTGTCAGCTAAACCTCCTCTGAAAAAGTGGAAACAGAGCCCCAAAACGGCAACAGGAAAGGATAAATCTTCAAACTAAAATGCTCAAACAAAGCGGGAAGAGGGAAGAAGTGGATAACCAGGAAACTGAAAGATTTACCTGCAGAGAACAGAGAAGATACAAACGAGAAGAATTCAGACTCTGGTGAAACAGGAGAAAAATAAGCCAAATATGATTAATAGCTTATACCATCTATTATCAGTTGTTTCCATCTCCCTTGTTGTATAATCCAGAGGAGTATTTTTATCAACTATTTTGTAAGTGCAAATTTTTAGAAGCTCTAGAAGCATTTAATTTTCTAGTTGTTTTTGTTTTTTGGTACAACCAAAAAATATTGAGATATTGAATTATTGGAGATGCTGACTCTCTTAAGAATCAGCCTCACATTGCAAAGATGGTGTGCAGTAGTTTCTATATCCTATAATACAAGCATACTAAATGGCAATTTGGAGCCACAGTCGTGCATTTAATATGTCTTGAACATTTTAAATTACTTCTGTTCCTATGATGTTTAGTATTAATTGTTTCCTGAAGAAATTCACTCCTTGATCTTGGCTCTCCTTGTCAGAATTGTGTAGATGCTGACTCCTTTAAGAGTCATAGTCCAGTTTTCCTGATAACATTGTTAATGTGCTGTGAAAGATAGAAAATGTGATTATGTAGTATATCTTATAGAGGGACTTGAGTGACAGCTTATCAACATTTCCTTTTAAGAAAAATTTGCCTCCAAATATTAAGCTGGAAAGTCATTGGAATAACATCTTAGAAAAGAATCGCAATATGGCTTTTTGTACATGGTTTTTTCAAAATGATGTACAAATTCAAATGTCTGTATACTGACCCTCAACACAACCAACAGAATCACTGTAAAATTATGAAAGAAAAAAACAGAACTGAAGTGAGCACCTAAAAACCAGCTCAGAAGGCAACACGTGTATATTTTCCCTAACAACTCTGTCCCACTTTTATAACCCTTTGACTCATGCCTTACCTTCTGACATTTGTGTTTGAAGAGTTTAAATTATTTTCCCATATGAAATAATTAATCCCAATTAACTTTCCTGAGTTTAAACCAGTGAATAAGCAAAACCTTCAAAAAAGGATTAAAATATCAGCCTTTTTTGTCAAGAGTAATGCTGTACGGCACAACAAACTTGGATCTACTCCCACAGTCATGGTTTCTGTTGTGAATTTAGGCACTCATATTTGTAGACTTCTCAATGGCAGAAACACAGCCTACTCTGGTAATCTCCTCCTCAGAAGAAAGAAGCATGATTTCTATCACCACAGGAAAAAACGGCAAAGGAATAACAGCAACATTTATCAGCTTTGCTCCACTCAATAGAGAAGTGGTCTTGTGGATGATAGATTCTCAATATCTAATAAATCACTTCTCTCATGGAGGAATAAAGTATAATGGATGAAAAGAAAAGAAGAAATGTTCCTTCAAAGTTGTTTTCTCATAGGCATGGAAATACCTTTAAGGTATGAAGAATATGGTTTACTTAAAACTCTGGGCAATATTCCTATGGTTTCCCTTAATTGGTTCACAGATCTTGGCATCCTGGTCGCTCACATTTGCATGCCCTCTTTATTTCATTGTTTCTTATCACATTATTAATGTCACTTCATTCTCTAGCCCTGACCCCTTCAAATCCATCTTGGCCTGGGCAGCTAAGTTTCACTAGCAGATGGAAGAAGGATAGATATACATGTTTTATAATTTTTAGTGTGGATTTCAAGGTCAACATAATTTGCAGGACCCACTGAAAAATAAAAGTGCAGGACCTTTTGTTCAAAAAACAGGAGAAAATTCAATTAAAGGTAAAATATAAAGCCTTTTTCTTTATCATTCCATGGTCTCTCTGTCAACTTGTCATGGTGTTTTTAATTTGTATTTAATATTGTTTTAAATAAAGATGTAAAATGTTAATTATTAATATGAATTTTGCCATTCATCTTTATATTATATAATTCCAGGTTAAAGGCAAATATAAAAGCATTAACTAACTTTCAGAATCACCAAAATGACACAATTCATATTCTATAGTTTATTCATGCATATGTATTTTGTTCTTGCCAAAATAGTGGAAATATTGCACTAAACTAACTCAACTATTTTTCTTTTACTTTTCAATACATGCACATTCTACCGACACTATCTACATTTGGTTTACTAATGAGTACAGAAGGAATTTTAAAAAATGAATTACTTTATCTTTCCTTGTCCTTCTGTGTCATCATTTTCAATATGAGTTATTGGCCAATACAGGGAAGTAACATGAGTAAGAAACTATATGAGAGTTCCTAGATCCCTTATCTTACTTAGAATGCCATTATCTTCTTCCTATGTTCAAACTAGGCTTTAGTTCAGACAGAAAGTGTGGTCTCTTGGATTTGTCAGCGCTTTTGCTTTCTCAGTCATGGGTGTAACATACTTACTTTGCACTTGCTTTGAGATTCACTGAACTCCCATATGTAATGACACACCTGGAACCTGATGTGCGTACTATACCGTGAATGTTATATGCAAATGGGGAAGCAAAGAATGGCAGATATGCATATTGCACATATCCCTTCTGCTCACACATATGTTCTGTGGTCCCACTGGAAAAAGACAAGTGCAAATATAGAATTACAGCAAATCATTAAAATAAGTATGTAGTCTGATTTTGGGATGCTAAATGCCTGTACCGGTCTCACTCTATGACACCAGCCCTGATAGACCTTTTGGGCTTTCTTTTTGTTCATTAAATAATTCCCAAATATACCACAAATATCTTATAGGCCCTTCAACTCTGAAATTACCACCTCCTACCATAGATCCCTCATTATTTCTCTTTTCTCTGTGAATCCAGTTTTTGCAGTAAACATGACTCCAAACTACAGAATCATTGTCTATATTTTCTCTTTTTTTCTTGTTTTTATGTTTAATCAGTCAAAAACTGTTTTCATTGGTACAATTTTATTTGTAATATTAGGAAACTACTTCAGATTGGCTTAAGGAAAAAAACTGAAATTTGTTGACTCATATATCTGAGAAGGAATTTGGGGAAGTCATAGAATCTAAAGAAAGAGCTACATGAAACAAGATTGTGGTTTTAACATCACCAAGAAACTGCCTCCCCAAATGTGTTTCATTTCTTCTCATTTTTGCTAACAGCTGAGACACAAGTGACTTAATATTTATAAATCACTTGAAGAGTGTTTCCTACATAAGTGTTCAGTATAAAATAGTATCATAATTTATTGTTACTATTATCGTTATTATTACAGCTGTGTAAGAGTAAGAAGAGCCATTCCCATCAACCCCAGTTTGGCTTTTTTGAGGGGAAGGACTTCTATTTCTCAGGTTGGACCAAGGTTGAGCACCAAGGGAAGCAGGAAAGTGCTGATGTTTAGAAAGAATTCTATTTTAATTTATTATTCCACCTGTATTGTATCTCCCTTACAATCCTATAGAAAACTGCTGTATGAATTTCCTTTCCTGCATAGCTCTGATTCATCACTATGCTGCTCAAGCACAGTTAATGCCTCTCCATCATCTAAAACCTAATATATGCATTCTGTACATTTCCTACATTTCTGACTCTAATCTCTTTTTTTTCCAGCCAAAACCCTTAGCCCTGTAGTTTTGTCAAATCAAACATGCTTTGCAGTTTCTAGTCTCTTAGCTTTGTTTAAATTGATTGCTCAGTTTCAAATATACTGCCTACCAATATCTCTCTCTTCCCAAATTAGACAACATGAATGAAAATACTTTTTAACTATAAAACATAACATAACTGTTACCATTATTACCATTCACCTTTTAAGGTCTATTTTATATGCTAAAGATCCCTGATAAAATCTTCCACTAATGTATTAATTTTTTAAAATCATCTCATGTTTCTGTTTTCCCAGTAATATTTTTCTATCATTGCTCTTATTGCCATCTTTGTTCTAATATTATTTTTGTACATATTATATTTTAAATGATGTGATCTTCTTGGGGATACTCACTCGGTACAGTTTAGCTTGTATCTACTGGAGAAGACCCCATAGGTCAAATCCAGCCAGCCACTTGTTAGTTTCTTTGGAAAACAATTTATTGCTTATATATACCTATGGTCACTTTTGCACTACAATAGCAGAGTAGTGGCAGCACACATTGTATGGCCTGCAAAACTTAAAATGTTTATAATCTAGCTCCTGTCCAGACTATCACATGATATTTAGCAGGTAGTCAAAGAGCATGATTTGAATAAATCCATAAGTATTGAATATTAATTCTAAACCAGACTATGAACATGCTATTTTCTGAACGTTTTATGGAAGGACATTTTAATTTTTGGTAGGCTTTGTACTGAGTTTTCTATGAAATCCTAAAGGGTCTAGTTTAACATTACTCTGACAAAGTTTAATATATTTATTGAATTGAATGCTACATATTTTGTAAATTTGTTCTGTTAGGTTTGTTTTATTGGATTTATTTTCAAGCAACATTTTAAAGCAAGTCAGAGATATAGGAAGAAATATAATCATTGACTAAATATTATATGAGAAATACATAGTAGTTAGGTATCTCACTGAGGTTTGGAACAAAAATGGTGAATGTGATTTATTTTGTAACTAAAATGCCAATGTAAATTAATGTTTACTTCATTCATGAGCAATCAAGATATTCCATAGTAGGAGATACATAAATCAAAATCACTTCATCTTCCTAAGTTATATTGCAGTTGATTATGTGACATTTTAAATCTAAAAATATCAAAAATTGTTTAAAGAAAAAGCAGCCAATACTCCCAAGAAACTTATAAAGTTGGCTTGC